TATAATTAGAAGCAAAAACTTAATGTTACCTGTAATGGAAACATTTTGCGGAACAAACAACTTTGAGTTTTTTGCAGTAACGAGATCAGTTTTTATGTCGGACTTCTCAGTGTTTGCCGAAATGCTACTATGCATATTCTCACCGTTTGTTCTCGGCAATTCTTGCAACTGAGAATTTCGTGTTGTGATTGGAATGGTTTCGATTTTCGAATCTTCATTGCTTCTATACTCACTTTTCCACAAATCAGTAAAATCAAAGTGCGAAAAATCAGATGAAATGCTATCCTTCAAATTCCCAGTAGGTGTTCCTGGTAATTCTCTACCAGTATTTTCTGATTCCCTTTTATGAGCATCAATGCTTGAACCCAGAATCGACTCCAAATTGGTGCTATCAAGGATGTTGAAATTAGTTGAGAAGTACATATTGCTGTAACCATCCCATGTAATGTCACCGATGTCGAGATTTAGTAGAGAGATAGTTTCATTCTCAGCCAAAACAATACAAAGCAGAAAGCTGAACCAAATAATTTGTGTCATTGAAATGAAGAGCAAAATGAAAAACTGAATTTTTACAATGACAGAAACACTCCATTGAAAGTTTTTATTTGAAATTGCTGAAATTAAACGACCAAAGGTTCAAACAGTTTTTAATCTGTGTCACTTGTATTATTATTCGTACTGTTTCCCTTTCATTCTAATTTTTCTATTATTAAATTAACAGTGATGAATACGCTTTTGGACTGCATGAATAAAAGATTAAAAATTAATTTGTCATGCATGAAAAATTAAATTCATAAGCCATCAATTGTTATCTGTCGTGCAACTCCTGATAATTAATATCATTTCATCATTTTTCATTAATTTGAAAATATTTCTAAAAAAACTCTACAAGTGCGCAAGAATGAGAAGCTGCGCGACATTTCTGATAATATCAACAGACTTCATTATGATAATTCTAATCATTATTTATCAGATGAATGTTGCTCAATTGTTTCATTCAATATTTTCTAACTTTCCATTTGTTTTGCTTTTAATTTTCTTCTCATTGAGTATTACATTTTCAATTTACACTTAACTGACGTACTGTACAGGAATCTGACTGAAATGCTAACATTTCATGCTTAATCTAGTAGGATTACGTCACATGAAACACAATAAATCTTTTGTTATTCTCTAGTAAAAAAATCGGGTGACAAAAATTTTGTTTGAACCAATTGTGAAAAAACATGAATGGATAATGTTATGAAAATGTACAACAGAAAATGTACAACATTTTGACAATTGTTGTGAGCTAAATTTACATATTTCGCTTTTGTTCTACTCCAACAATCTTTCATCTGCTGAAATTGCATGGAAAGTATTATATTAATTGACCTCTTTCAAGTTTACTACTTTTATGCCTTGAACGTTTAATTTGATCAGTTAGAATTTGACATTACCAAATTGTTTAATTATATTGTTTTTATATCAAATGCATTTTTAGCAGGAATAAGTTAATTTTCATTAAAAATAATGTAAATTTAAGTCATTACCAAAAAATAACTGTGCCTACCGTTCTCATCAAGACAATTCTTGAAGAAATTTTAGCGAGAATATGCCATCAATTGGAAATTTTGTATAAATTCTGGTTGAATTACTTCTCTGAATTAGGAAGATACAAAGATTCAAACTTTAAATTCTTTAATGATTTTTTGTTTTTCAACCATGACTTATTACTTTAATGAAATCCCAATCTACGTGCCAACTGGCCAGATGCTATTACTTCTCTGAATTGGGAAGATTCATTTAACAAGGAAGCAGTCGCAAAGTCTTTATTTTGAGGCTTACAGTGAACACTAAAAACTAAAATGAATGTATTAAACATATGAAAACACACGATGAACAGTTTATTCATAAACTAAACCCGATTTTGAACTAAGATGTCAGTACTAAAGTGCTAAACTTAGAATACTAACAATTTTGTCAACGTTAATATCATGTGAGAAACTTAAGCTATTTATGCTACACATAGACATTATAAATTTATAAAATCCAATAATATTTGTGTTTGATAAATTTAAATTTCCCTTATTGATTCTAAGCTTCATTTCGTGATAATTCAAAAAAATGACGAAAAAAATCAAATAAAAGGAATATTTCTTACTTGATTAATTAGCTACTTTATTTGAATAATGTCAATTCAGCTATGCAATGACTAATTTCTGTCGGTTCTAATTTTCATAAGGAGACAAATTGCAAAAAGTGTATTTATTCTATAAAATAAGATAGATTTATGAATATCAATAAAATTGTAAAATTTCTGCATCATTCCGATGATAGCACAGAAATGCCATACAGCTTCTCATTCTTGCGCACCTTATCGTATTTCTTCCGAAGTATTCGCGATTTGTTGATTGCTTTCTGTTACGGCTAAAATGAATAGTTTAGATATCATTTCATCACACCAAAAAGTGTGAAAAGTTTGCCGAAATTTGGCCTAATGGAGCAATTAAGTGCTTCTTTACATGGCTTTTTTTACATCACATTATTTACTGAATTTTGTGTTGCTATTATACAATTTCACGGATGTTTTTTCAGCACATTTTCATGTGCATTTCACTTCAAGCAGACAAATATGTTTGAAGTCCTGCTAAATTTGTGAAACTAACGTAGAGCTTTCGTACAATGCTTCCTATGAGCGCTTAGATTATTCTTATAGATGAAATTTTTGCCACAATTTTCGCAATGAACATTAAGCTTGTGTGTTTCCTGATGAAAGCAGAATGATGATGGATGAGTGAATGTTAACCCACAACCGGACACTTTGCATTCATAAATAAAAGGTTTGGGGTGCGTTTTCCTGTGAGATATGTATTCCTTGTAATTTTTCGTTTTCATAGTACATCCGACATGGGGACACTCGTAATTTTCCTCATCTGAAAAATTCTTTTATAATATTTGTTTTTATAATTCTATCATAGCAATTTGAAAACTGATCATTAAAATGTGTGCTATATACTTCAATAGCTCAGGTCACAGTTCTTTATTTGTTTTCTCTCATGTATTAATTTTTTTTTTTTTTTTTTGTAAATTTTCCGCTGCGATGAAATCAGGTCCAGTCCTCGATTCTTTGCTGTTTAATCACGTATTCATTCCATTCCTACTTTCTTATGTTGAATATAAACGAGGATGATCTATTTATTTGTGGTTAAATGTTGCTTTCCTATTGAATTTTGTATTGCTATACGACGGATCTTTCTCAGCTGTGCATTTCACTCCAAATAAATAAACATGTTTGAAGTCCTGCTAAATTTGTGAAACTAACGTGGAGCTTTCGTACAATGCTTCTTGTGAGACCTCAAATTATTCTTACAAGTGAAGATTTTGCCACAGTTTCCGCACTTAAGATTAGGCCCGTGTGTTTCTTGATGACTGTAGAATGTTGATGGATTATTGAATGTTCGCCCACAACCGAACACTTTGCATTCATAAATAAAAGGTTCGGGGTGTGTTTGCCTGTGAGCTATATATTTACTGTGACTCTTCGTTTTCATCGTACACCCGACATAGGGACATTCATAATTTTTATCATCTGAAAAACTGTTTAATAACATTTCTTTCTTCAGTCCTATCATAGCAATTTGTAATTAATTAACGCAATTTGAAAACCGATCATAAAAATGTCTGTGATATTATACTTCAAATAGCTTCTTTACTTGTTTTTTTATGTATTTAAATTAAAAATGTAATTATAGATTTTCTGCTGCGATGAGATCATCAGTTCTTGATTTTTTACTGTTCAATATCCACAATTTCACGTAAAAGCAAAGACGCTTAAGAAAATAACTTTTAAACTCATTCCATTCCTTGAACAGCAGGTACTGCTTACTTTTTTTTTAAATAAATGAGAAGGATCTATCGCTTTGTTGAGTCTTTGTTAAATATGGGTCTGTTGACTTTTGTACTTCTATATAACGGATCTTTCTCAGCTGTGCATTTCACTCCAAATAAATAAACATATTTGAAGTCACTTCAAGCAGACAAACATATTTGAAGTCCTGCTAAATTTGTGAAACTAACCTGGAGCTTTCGTACAATGCTTCTTGTGAGACCTCAAATTATTCTTACAGGTGAGGATTTTGCCACAGTTTTCGCACTTAAGATTAGGCTCATGTGTTTCCTGATGACTGTAGAATGTTGATGGATGATTGAATGTTCGCCCACAACCGAACACTTTGCATTCATAAATAAAAGGTTCGGGGTGTGTTTTCCTGTGAGTTATGTATTCATTGTGGCTCTTCGTTTTCATTGTACACCCGACATGGTGACATTCATAATTTTTATCATCTGAAATACTGTCTTATAATAATTTTTATAATTCTATTTTTAACTGCTATACAACGGATGTTTCTCAGCTATGCATTCCACTTCAAGTAGATACAGGTAAAAATGTCCAAAATTTTCTGAATTTGTGGAACTAACATGGGACATTCATACAATGCTTCTTGTGAGTGCTTAGTTTATACTTGGAGCTGAAATTTTTTCCACAATTTCCACATTTAAGTTTAGGCCCGTGTGTTTCCTGGTGATGGACGAAGGTTGACTGATGAGTGAATGTTCGTCCACAACCGGACACTTTGCATTCATAAATAAAAAGTTTGGGATGCGTTCTCCTGTGAGTTATGTATTCATTGTAATTCTTCATTATCATAGCACACCCGATATGGGGACACTCATAATTTTTCTTATCTGAAAAATTATCTTATAATATTAATTTTTGCATATCATCTTCCAGTCATTTGGAATGAATTAATGTAATTTGAAAAAAATTGTGAGCATATGTTAAATTAATGTTACCTGCAATGGTAGGATTTTGCAAAACAATTAACTCCATGTTTTTTGCAGTAACGAGATCAGTTTTTATGTCGGACTTCTCAGTGTTTGCCGAAATGCTACTATGCATATTCTCACCGTTTGTTCTCGGCAATTCTTGCAACTGAGAATTTCGTGTTGTGATTGGAATGGTTTCGATTTTCGAATCTTCATTGCTTCTATACTCACTTTTCCACAAATCAGTAAAATCAAAGTGCGAAAAATCAGATGAAATGCTATCCTCCAAATTCCCAGCAGGTGTTCCTGGTAATTCTCTACCAGTATTTTCTGGTTCCCTTTTATGAGCATCAATGCTTGAACCTAGGATCGACTCCAAATTGCTATTATCAAGGATGTTGAAACTAGTTGAGAAGTACCCATTGCTACAGTCATCCCATGTAATGTCATCGATGTCGAGATTTAGTAGAGAGATAGTTTCATTCTCAGCCAAAACAATACAAAGCAGAAAGCTGAACCAAATAATTTGTGTCATTGAAATGAAGAGCAAAATGAAAAACTGAATTTTTACAATGACAGAAACACTCCATTAAAAGTTTTTATTTCAGATTGGTTGGAATTAAACGACCAAAGGTTCAAACAGTTTTTAATCTGTCTTATTTGCATCATTCCTCATACTTTTTCCCTTTCATTCTAATTTTTCTATTATTAAATTGACAATTGATGCTTTTTAACTCCATATGATGTTTAGCAATGGTTGTGCTTCGGAGATTATCGGAAGAAAGAAGTGTGGTACGAATGTAATGCATGAATGACTAAATTCATACAGTCATTAATTGTTACTTGTCGTGCGGCTTGACCATCACTGAATACGCCAGAATGTCAGTGCTTCTCACTCAATTAGCTAAAATGTCGATAGTTAAAATAAAATTCCGCCTGTTTCAGTTTAGTAGTGGCACAGTGCAGAATGATGCTAAAATGAGATTGTCAGTTCAAATGCAAATATATATTTTAATAAACGTCTGATGAGCTTTAATGAGCTGATGAGCTTCACCGACCAATGAAAAAGAATTAGTTTATGAAATTTTCACAAATCTTATTATCTAATTGATTTAAATGCTGGAGTTGCCTATTATTGTTTTACAGAAGCAAAAATCAAAACGAATTTAGAGGGAAACACAATAAGTTCGTCATGGATTCTAGATCAATTTCATTTCTCCTTTGAACTGAACAATCTTCATTGCAAAAATATTTTTGGTGAAGAACTGATTTTATGATTTTCAAAATTTATCGCAAAAATTTTAAGTAAATGCAATCAGATTTACAATGCGTTTCTCTTCAAAGCAAAAAAAGTGAAATTATAATTCATTCTATATAAATGCTTCAAAAAACATTTTTATACGACAAATTTTGCTAAATATTCAGTAACGCTAAGTTTTTTTTGCATGCTTTTAATTTTTGAACGTTTTGCTACAGAAAATAATTTAACCGAGGAGAACGAACAACTGAATGCACCAACTGTCTTCTAGAAAGTTTTTGATTACCCTTTTTTTTTTGCAAAGTTCTATGAATTTTTTATGTGTTAGATAGTCGTTTTGTAATTGAACCTATAAGTTTTAGACTGGAAAAATCTTAGATTCATAATAATTCTTTGCAACTTTTTGCAAAGGAGCGATTATTAGGTAGTGTAAAGAAAATGACGTGTAGTGGTGAACTTATCAGAAAAATGGTAAGTAAGCTCACTTCCACGACAACATTTTATTACTCATGTCTCCAATTTCCAAGTTTAGATTTAAAACAGCAATATTCTGCGGTTTTTGAAAAAAAAATTCATCATCAACAGATTGGATTTGTTCGTGCATTTAATACCATTATCCTATCAGCAATGTCAGTTGCTATCCTCATCAAAGTTCTAAGACATTTTTAATAAACTTTTGTTTCTCTGAAAATTTGCTCAAAAACTAGAGTTTCTATTACGTTTTGCTCATGATCATCGTAACAATACGAAAAATTGCGGAAATAATCTCTGCGACGTTTCTAATAATATGACTGTACGAAGAATGCATAATGAAGTGACATAGTTCGTTGTTCCGGAACATTTCCAGCATTGATATCACAATGAAAGAAAAATTGTGGATCTAAATGTAAGCATATATTTTAATAAGAGAAATCAAAGTTTGATGAGTTTCGAAGATAGCTTTTCTTTCTTATAATTGTTACCTTAATTGGCTCCTTTAATTCCTTATACGGAACACTGGTTTATAGCAAAGGTGCATTCCTAGAGTGATAAAAAACGGAAGAGATTATTTGAAAGAACAAACAGCTAACAGCTAACAAACGAGATTAGCTGCATAAAGAAGTGGTCTTTAATTTAAGTTTGGCGGTTGAACTGGAAAATATTAGCAATAAAACAGGAAGAAATTATCAACATGTTTGTTCCCTGTCATTATATTCTTCGTTAACAAATTGTAACATTTTAAACAATGCATATGGTTCAGTTATACTTACATGAATTTTACGTGGTTTTGGATGCTATACTCTAGAAAGAAATTATATTTGTTTAAGAAATATTCAAATAAGGCATCTTATGGATTTAATTCCGGCATATTATGATTCACTTTTTCCGACAAGGCTTATCCCAACTGTACTCTTCAATATTTGCAAACCTCCAGGAAAATGGAAAATTGGAACAAATCAAATTGCATGAAATATGTTTTCTTTAACTAAATATATTTTCTATATTTGCATCAAATAACTGACCAAATATTTTCATAGTGTACATAAAATAAAGTGATCAATTCCCTTGTCACTTATTTGTCATCGAATTACTGCGATGTCGGGTAAAATTAAATTTTCTTTGCTTTTTTTTTATTCATTAAATTTAGCATTTTCTTCTGCAGCAAAATAGAGGTACTAATATTTTCATTCCAGCACATTTGTTTATTTATAAAATATTAAGGTCAAGTAGTTACTGCATTTCAAATTAATCTAATCAAATGATTCAGGAATCCCTCAAACTGACCTCGAACTAGTTATAAGTTCGAATTAACCATTCTTTTTATAAATGGTAAATTTTTGAAATGAAAGAAATAATTTTGTATATACGTATATACATTCTATACATATGTAGAGAGAGAGAGAGAGAGAGAGAGAGAGAGAATATCTACAGGAAATCCGAGTTACAAAAGTGATTCTGCAGCGTAACATGATTTCACAAAAATAATTCTGCATTCCTTCCTGAACCACATAAGCCATCTCGAAAAGATCCCCTCCACCGCTATAGACAAATATATAAAAGTCAAAGTATCATTCTGCTAATAATTTCATACAGTCCAACCAAACACTGAATTCCATTCAAACCAATCAAATTCCACCCAAAATGCAAATTCGTTACATGATGTTTTGAGCTATTTAAATTTATCAGAAATTTGTTAATAAATTTCGGAGGTAATTATTTCAGATTCAGTCCGTTTTACAGTATAATTCAATCAAATGCCAAAAATTGTCAGTGGTAATGGTAAATGGAAAATGGTGAATATTCCTGGTGAATGTATTGTTGATGAGAATTTCACATTTCTTTCATCATTTGAAGAATACATACCGATGCCGATCGGAGAACATAATGATGGGAAGAATACAATGGTATATTTCTTTTTTTTTTCAGTTGCTTTTGGTTTATACAACATATATTATAAAGTGAGGTGCTAATATTTGTTATAATGGGAAAGATGTTGTAGGTTTAAAATATGAATTTATTACCTTGAATCATTCAAATATTGTAGGAAACTATTCGAATTAAGATTTGATACCGTTTTGAAGACTATGAATTGTTGAGACAATCGTAGTAATGCAGTTTTTTCTTCTTTTTCTACAGTATTAAAGTTGAAAAAGAGGTATGGAATTGTTTACTTTTAGTAGTAGTATGATAAGAGAATACAACTAATGTTTTTTATCACATCAATTTTCTTATGTTTGTTTCTTCGTTCCTTTCCATATTTATTCTATTAATTTTTTGGTTGAAAAATTGTAGAAGAAGAAGAACGCGAAAAAGAGAAAAGTAACTGATGCACTTGATAAATCTGAAACGAATGATGACTACACATTAAAAACGATGAATAATAAAAAAGGAAAAGAGCTGGAGAAATTTAATGAGACTGTGGTTACAAAGCAGGTAGATTTATATGAGTAAAGATCAAGTTATGTTGATAGGATTTTTTAAGGAAAAGAATGTAAATTATGTAAATTATTATGTCATATAAATGTTTCTACTCGTTTTTCTGTCTAGTCCTACTTTTAATGGTATAAGTAAGAAGATTATATTAAAGTTACCAGGTTAATCCATTGAATGAGAAAAGTTTTCATGTAAATTCAGATGGTATTGCCATTTTAAAGGTTTCCGTTGCGAAGAGGGAAGGAATAAATGGCAGCATTGGTTTTAATAATGAAGAAATTGGTATATATTTCTTTTTTGTTTCCATCTCTTAAAAACATTTCGTATTGGCATCTTTCATTTCTCGTGTTTCTTTTTCACCAGCATTAAAGAAACTTTTGAGCAATACACTGCTTTATCATGTTGCTATTTCAAGAATATGATTGCAGATGAGTTGCATGGAAAAAAAGGCGAGATTGCAGATATGTCGGGTTGGATAAATCTTTATATTTCTAATGCAGTTTTAAAAGCTATCGCTGATATGGGGTATTTTCCTATCACTTTTTAAATTTTTGGATTGCAGGACAATTGATGAATTTTTTGAAATATTCTGTGGTAATAGTGATGTGAAATTGATACTATAAAATATTATAGGTTTACTGAGCCGACGGAAATACAGAAACTTGTCATACCAAGCGCTGTTAGAGATCGCTTTGATATTATTGGAGCGGCAGAGACGGTAAAGTTTGATTTTTTCTAGTTTTTTAACACTAGTCCATGGAAATTTTTCGTTGATGAAAAGTTTATGAGTTTATTAGTTCAGTACAAGATTATTTCCATCATATCTTCATTTGCAAGATGTCTCAGTTATTACTTGCTTCACTTATATTCCCAGAATGATCATATATTCTTATAACATGCTGTCCAATACAGGATGGTCTTAATCTCATGAGTGTATGTGTAGTAGTTTGCTAGCATATAATAAGCATCTAATTAAGTGTTTCCAATTCTTTCTTCGTTGATCGAATTTAGCTTTTATGCTTAACCATACATTTACAGGGAAGTGGGAAGACACTGGCGTTTGGTGTGCCTGTTGTTGAACATCTTTTAGCAAATCAGTCATTTCTGGAAAGCAGTGAACAAAAAAAGGGCATTAGAGCTCTCATTCTTGCGCCAACTCGGGAACTGGTAATGCAAATTAGGAACCACATCGATGCTTTGCTAAAGTATACTCCTTTCAAAGTAATTATTACGTTCTTTCCATAATTTGATTGGTTTAAGTTTTTATTTGATCCTATCTTGAACCATTCTTACTTCCCTGAAATAAAGTAAACAGCTTATGGTATTCGGTTTGCTTAAGATTATATTGGGTAATAAAAAGTTGGGTAACTAGATTTTAAGTTATTTTTGTTACTTTTATTTTGCAGGTCGCATCTATTGTCGGTGGTCTTTCACTGCAAAAACAAGAGCGTATATTAAAATATGTACCCGAAATCGTTATTGCTACTCCAGGACGACTTTTAGCCTTAATGACATCAGCTGAAGCTGATAGCTGTCTTTCTGACTGGTCTCACTTACAATGTCTAGTAGTTGATGAAACTGATCGTATGATTGAAAAAGGACATTTTGAAGATCTGCAACATATTTTAGACACCCTAAGGAAGT